AGGAATGAGATAAACCACTTTCCCTCTTCCAGGAAACTGAGAAATAAATAAATACATTTATGAAAACAATTTTTAGTTGTTTGTCCATAGCAGTTCTTTCTCTTATGCAGATGCAGGTCTCCCTCACAAAGTAGTATGCAGATACCTCTTAGTTTAGTCTTATAACAGTTGTGAAGGCATTAATGCTATTTTTCAGCTAACAATAGGGCAATAACATGTCAGAGACAGAAACTTCTACTCATTTGTCCAGATGATGTTGCCTTCCTTATAACAATTTTCTGTCTTTACAGGGTGGAGAACTGACACAAATATGTATATTTTACATTTGCTTTCTCCAGATTTTCTTCAGTCCTCTATAGAAATCACATGATTTAACTCCATTAATAAGAGATGTGATGCTAAGTTAGACCGAAGTTCCTCCTCAGCTCTATAACCAGATTGAAGCAGATGCTTTAAGAAAGTATAGAAGAACAGAGTATGTAGGGGATGATTGCTCCCTTGGTAAATTCTTCCAACTTTTAACAATTGGCAATTTAAAGTCACTGCTACACTTTGGAATCATTTTCAAATAGAAAAGGGGGCTACACGGAAAATTTGAATGAAGTTTCTCCTTTTATTGTGTTCAGAAAGAGGTTCTAAAGACATTTCCCAAATCTTAACAAATATGTGCATAGCATTACAAGAAAGACAAGTAAAATGTGAAGATGAACACCACGAAATCTTTGACCCTAATGACTAACCCATGTGATTCATACTCTGTATTACTGCTTTTTAGTCACATGCAATGGACCACCTGGTTGAAAAATGGAAAGAAAATACACAGCGATTACTATTTTCTACTGATCTGCCTCACCTGGGCCCTGCTCCCAGAGTCATAACCGTAAGGATACTGGCAGTGCCATCCATAAATATCAACAGCTGTGGCATCTGAGGGAAGAAAATGCAGACATCCTCCAAAAATGGAAGTCATATAGAAGCAAGGAGCATAGAAATAGCATAAACTCTGTCATATTAAATGTAGAACCACAACAGAGCTGACCAAAAAGATTTTAAGATTTTGCTAAGAATGTGGTAGTAATAATATAAACTTTCTCAAATTCCATCACCAAAGAAGTCCTGCAAGACAGCAAGTAAAGCTATAGAGGATGAATGTGTAGAAGCAGCATTTAAGGTGGCTAACTCCGCAGCTAAAAAGCTAAAAGAATTATTTGCCTTGCTAAAGAGCCAAACATTAGGTGGGCTGAGCATGAGGAACTGTCCTAAAACAAGACTTTCATTTTAGGAAAAACTTCAAGAGAAATTGGTAAGTTAAACAGTAACGAATTGCTGAAGCTCTGCAGTGTTCCTGCCAAGGGATTCAAATGTTCGGCTACTGAAGTGCTAGTGCCAGTGGGTTGTTTTTCACTGAACCTGATCCTAATGCCAGCAAAATAGAACATAGGAAATGTACCACTGATCTACTGGTCTTTCAAAAGAGTCCTCCAAGGGCGATCATGGGAACTACAAAACTGTCAATGTGACTTCTATGCCAGGAAAATCAGATGAACTGTTGTAAAGAATAAAATCAATAGACACACAGATAAAGCTGATACTCTGTAGGAGGATCAAATGGATTCTGTTAAGGGCGGTTATGCCTCACAAATCTATTGGCATTCTTTAAAGACATCAAAAAGCATGTTGATATTATTGTTCATGCTTGAATGTGCAATCAGTGTAACCTTAGATTGCAAGGCTAAGACCCTTGGGACCCTTACCCCAAGGCAGTCTGGACTGAACTATTTCTTCTCTTCACCTGGATTCAAGCAGAGCAGGAATTCACACAGTGTATATAACCTAACCATTTTTATAGTAATCTTCACTCCTATAGAAATAGCAAAGTAGGGAATAATGCACATAGCTCCCACAGTTTAAATCCCATGGGTAACAGTATATACTGTACTGAATTTTTAATAGCACATTATTCAGAGTATCACATAAATTGTTATTACTGATGTAATAAAACCTAAACCAACACAGCTGGAGAGACCAAGGCTGTAAATACACCATATATTTTTTTGTATTGTAATAATATGGGCCAAATTATTTTTAAGTCTAAATCTGCTGATTTTAGTTGAATTAGACAACGTCTTAATGTGTACATCTACTATAATTCATGTCCCTAGACAAATGCTTTTGCCTAATTTATATTTATGTTTTCATACAGAAACTGTTACATGGTCCTTAAAGGACATTCTGTGGTTTATGGATTGATCCTGCTGCTGGGGAACTCAAAGAAAAAAATCCCAGTGAGGAAGATCTGAACACACTGTAATTCAGCATTCTAAGCTTTTTGAGTACATAAAACCCTATTTCTTTAGTTCTTTGTTTTCTGATCATCTCTCTGTCTCTGCTGTAGTCCCTGGTGAAAAAGTGCTCACAGGGGCAAATACCTGCAATGGGCAGCTGAGGCCTAGCTGAGCCCACCTTGGAGGAGGGGCAGCGCACACAAGGTGACCCCTTGAGAGTTGCTTTGTTCTTTCTTCTCTGTTTCTGTGATGTCAGTGTCCAGATAAAACATTACAGTCCAGATCATGAATACGAGATCAAAAACACACCACATATGTGTGTTTCAAGCTTTTTGCCAGTAATCTTTAAGGCCCGATTCAAAGCTTGTTGAAGTCCACTGTTGCTGACACTGATTTCAGGGAGGATTAAATTGGACTTTCTCTAAAGCAGGACCCAAAATTTTTCTTTGTTCTTGATTGGCTGGGCACACCATCAGGCCTCAGTGCATAACTAATGTCACTACTTATATATATATAATATATATATATAAAACATTACTACTATATATATACACACGCTATATATATATAATGTTACTACTATATGTATATTATATTTTATATATATATTATATATAGTTATATAGTTGATGATAGTAAATTTTAAAATTTGTTGTACAGACGTGCCTGTGTATAACACAGGCCCTGAGAGTTTCCAAGCCAGTTTAATCTCTGCGATAGCCGTGCTGGCATCGTGGGGCACAGATAACATTCCACACCGAAGGGCTCCGTGACAGGACTGTCGGTGCTGGCAAAACGTGGAAGTGTTAGGGAAATGCTGTACAGATGGTTACGTGCACCGGTGTTATCTGCTGCACTAGGCTGTGCTTCCCTCTGAATGTGCTGGGTACAGTGCTAGTATAAGCTTATCTGCAGGTTACAGTATGGGCAGGTCTGACCTTCTGAATGCATCCGGAAAAAGACTGTTTCAGTACAAGAAGAATTTTGCTTTTAAGGAATAGATCAATTTAGTGCAGACAGATGCTTTGTTGCAACGAATTCCTTGCTCTTTTTTTCTGCATATTCCCTTTTCTTGAACAGTTAATGTACATGAGAA